GGCCTGGCCTTCCGTGTCCCCCCCTCCTGTATTTTCCTCTTGAGGGGGAAGGACTTTCTCAGCTGTCCGGTCCAATAATTCCTCCAACCCTGGGCCCGAACAGACAGTCTCCTGTGAGGGGGATGCCGCATAACCTAACTTTTGAAGTGATGTCCCCCTGCCATGTCTTTAGCCACAGCGCCCTTCTGGCTGAATTGGTCAGGGCAGCAGACCTGGCCCCCAATCTCACCAACTCTGCGGAAGCATCCGCAATATACCCCACTCCTTGCAAAAGGGTCTCAAAAGAGGCCAAGATTTTTTCCTTGGGAGAGTCTGCCACAATATGGGCCTGTAATTGCGTAAGCCAATACTCTAAGTTCCTGGCTACCACTGTTGTAGCCATGGCCGGCTTCAGGTTGTACAGGGTCGAGTCCCAGGCCTTCCTAAGGAGAGACTCCGCCCTTCTGTCCAATAAGTCTGGTAAGACCCCCATGTCCTCAAACGCTAGGTTAGTTCTCCTGGTCGTTTGGGAAAAGGCCGCGTCTAGCCTGGGGCTCTTGTTCCAGACCGCCTCCGGGTCTTCCGAAAACGGAAACCTCCTTCTCAACGCTTTTGAGAGAACGGTTTCCTTTCCGGGTCCTGCCACTCCTTCTTAATCGTGTCTACCAAAATGTCATGCACAGGAAACATTCTGTGCTGGTGCTCCTCCAATCCCTGATACATTTGGTCGTGGAGAGATAAGGCCTTAACCTCCTCCTTAATGTCCAGGGTTTCGTATATAGCCCCCAGGAGCTCATCAACCTCCTCTAGGGTCAACTTATACCGGGAGGGGCCCCTCCCTTCCTCCGAGGGACCCTCACCCGCTGATTCCTCCTCAGACTGGGAGTCCCCCACTGGTTCCTCCCCGGTCATAAGGGGTTCCCGACGACTCACCGAAGCCACCTGGGGGGGGGGGGGGGGGGGGGGGTGTAGGTAATGGGAGGGCAAACCTCTCCATGAGGGACTTGAAGGAGTCGAAGGTGGTAGCCAACTCCTTCACTGACCTGGCTAGGTCCCCCTGTTCCGGCTTCTCCTCCCTCACCAACCCCTGTATACATGGGCCACAAAGAACCTTTCGCCAAGTTCTTTTAAAACTTCCTTACAGGAAGGGCATCTCCGCTTGGTCTCCTGGTGCCTAAGTTTAGCTCGGGCCTTGCCCTGAAAGACACAAAAGAAAAGGGGGGAGGTGGGAAGCCCAATCAGTCCGACACTAAACACCCCCCCCCCCCCCCCGCTTCCCTGCAGAGCAAACAAGGGCCTGAAAAACCGCAGACCCCTTGCCCTACCTTCCCCCTGCTACGGGCCCACAGGTAGGGGAGGCCTCCACTGAGGCACCTTACCTGTGACTGGCTGGTGCTGGCATCTCCTGGTCCCGGTGCCTCCGACATCCCGTACCGGAGGGTGGTCGCCTGGTGCAGGTCTGTCCCCCAGACCGCTGTGCACCGCACCGCCATTTTTGAATTTCGCGCCGCCGTGGTGTGAAGGCCGCGACCGGAAGCGGAAGTCGCGGTCTTGGGCGAAGCCCCGCCCCTTCCGCCGGAAACCGCCGTCTCCCGACGTCCGGCCCGGCAAAGCCCTCAGACCGCCAGCATGGGAAGGAGCGGAACTCCCCCCGATCCTCCCCAGACCTCACCACGGCCACCCCGACGCCCCCCCTCGCCGGAGGGGGTCGGGGGGCGAAGAGCAGGTAAGTGCCCTGTCCCCGTCCCCCGGGATGCACTCTCACTGCTGGCAGCCTGCCCTGGGAGGATATGCAGCCGGACACTCCGGCCTTCACTCCCAGCTGCGTCGGGCCTCACAGCCGGCTATCCGGCCCTCGGCTCCCCTATCGTCTTCCTGCGCCTCCTCGTGTCTCCCCACCGGAGGAAACACCTGAACTGAGGTCAGAGGGGAGTGGAGCTTTTTTATTGTAGGTGGAGGTGTTTCCTCAGATGGGGAGGAGCCGAGATCTCTCAGAGTGCTGGCCTGAAAGACGGTAGGGGAAAAAAAACTGTTTGCTGTAACTGCGGTGTGAGCTGGATGTGTTAGTGCATCCAAATCTACTAGCACATCTAACACAATGCTGCTGTCTGCCGTGCCCCCTGTGCTCCTTCACCAAGAGTGGTGGCACTCTAACACAGGAGGTGTGTTACTGGCCAGATCACCAGGTGCAAAGAGGGAAAAAGCCTTAAAAAAAAAAAAAAAAAAAAAAAAAAAAAAAAAAAAAAAAAAAGAACGAATGCAGCCACATCTAATAATTGGCAAGCTGCAATATATTACATTTTTGGTTTGGGGTTTATTCCCAATTTAAACTCTATTCTGTTCTGGGAGCAGGACAGCAAGTCCTTGTACCACTGCAGGAACACAGCACTGTATGTAGTTGATACAGTTTATGCAGCACAATCAGTGGGTGCATCAATAAAGCTGGCCATAGAAGGTTTGAATCTTGGCTGGTTCAGCAGGTACCAGCAGACATTCGATCCATGTTGGGGCAGGCTGACTACCCAAGTCGATCTATCCACTTGATTACAAACGGCATGTCAGATTTTTAGGATGTGGTTACTGCCAGTGGCTCTAGCTGATCGTAATAATCATTATGTTCTCCCAGCACGGACAGTCTCCCTCCCCATTCCCAAAGACAATAGCTCTGCGGGAGGGATTCCCACAATAATTACTGTGTTGACCTGTTTTCTATAAACTGTACTTGTCTCCATCCAGAGCACTAAGTGTCATTTCTGTCCACTGCCTCCTTCCTCTGCTATCAGAATGAATAACTTCTGACAAGTTTTCCCTGACAGCAATAGAAAAATGGTGACAGGGAAGGACACAGCCTGTGACTGACAGCCTCAACTCTGTTCCTGTGTGGAGGGGGAGGGTGTCTCTTCCCTCCAATCAGCTCTCAGAGCTCTCCTCACTGATGTAACTGCTGCTCTCTCCCCCCTGCTTTTCAGAGCTGAGAGATCCTGTGTAAATTCTGAACTTTTAACACATGTAGGTGACAGATGACTGCAGATAAACAGGTACAACGTATGTAGGAGGATTTGTTTAATCTTTGTATCACTAGTCACGCCAGTGGTTATATGTAAGGGTTTACAAGATAGGCTCCACACCCAGGCACTGATCAGCAGAAAGCACCAATGGCTCCCACTCCTGCCTCAGTGCCCAGTGAACAGAAAGCCTCTGCAAGTGTGCACCTCGCTGGATCGAGATCAGGCTCAGGTAAGTGTTAGCACAGGAGCTGATCACAGAAGGAGTTTTGTTTACCATAAAGCTAAGAATGCAATCAAGTAAAAAACCTTCTGCCTTAAGCAGCACTTTAAAGCTGCAGATTTAGAAAAGCTAGAAACTTCTGAAATGCCATGAACCTATTCAAATGGAACTATACTTACTATCAGTCTAGTAATGTGGTGTCCTGGAGCTCTCCGCCGCCATCCAAAGCTGCAGCCAATCACTGGCTGCATTCATGTGTGCGAGTTCAATCAGATGAGCATTGCTGAATCTGTACAATGAGCTGCATGTGTGCCGTTCACTGCACAGGGGAGGACCGGCAGGTAAGTAACTTTAAAGTGGTTGTAAACTCTCACATGATCCCAGTGAAAGTGACACTTGTGCGACTTCAAAATCATGCCATTTTCATTGTGACTTTACAGTGCGACTTTAATGCAACTATGATGGGACTTTGGCTTTGACCAAGGATAATTGTTTCTGCTGTACAAAGTCTCACACAAGTCACATGTACAACATTCAGGTGCGACTTTCATGCAACTTTGAAGGGTTTATATTGAAGTCTATGGTCCTCAAGTCGCATGAAAGTCGGACCAAAATAGCACAGGAACTACTTTGAAGTCGCTATAACTTGAAGGTGCACAGATATGAATGGTACCCATTGGGAAACATGGGGGGTGATTTGTCAAGCAACTTTGGACTCTAAAGTCGCATAACTGTGAATGGAGCCTAAAGAGTTTTTTTTTTCTAAAATAAAAATACATCTATACTTACCTGCTGTGTGCAGTGATTTTGCACAGAGCAGCCCCGATCCTCTTCCTTTTTTTGGTCCCTGCTGGCGCTCCTGGCTCCTCCCCTTCAAGCAGTGCCCTCAGGGAAATCCATTTGCCCTGTAGGCACCGCTGCATGCTCATTCCTGACCTGCTGCTCTATGCGTCCATAAGACACAGAGCCATGTCTCGGCCCTGCCCCCCCGCCTCACTGGCTGTGATTGACAGCAGTGGGAGCCAATGGGCTCTTGCTGCTGTCTCAGCTAATAAGAAGGAAGAGTCCCCAGAAGCGGTTGAGAACGTCGGGGAGGACACTGCAAACAGAAGTTTTTTTTTTACATACATAGAATACATGAAGGTAAAAAAAACCTTGAGCCTTTGGAACCACTTAAAGTGACTGGCCTGAGGTGATACACAAAGATGAAACAAATTCTCCTACATAAGTTGTATCTGTTTATCTAAACATCTCTCCACTACATTCATTCAAAGTGCAGAATTTACACAGGATCTCTCAGCTCTGAAAAGCAGGGGGCGGAGAGCTGAAGTTACATGAGTGAATAGAGCTCTGAGGGCTGATTGGAGGGACGGGACACCCCTTCCTTCACATAGGAACAGAGCTGTGGCTGTCAATAGCAGGCTGTACTCTACCCTGACACCACTTTTCTCTTGGTGTCAGGAAAACGTGTCAGTAGTGACTCATGTTGGAAGGAGGCAGCAGACAGAAATAATACTTGGTGCTGTGAATGGAGACAAGTATACACTATAGAGGGATATGCTTTGGTCATATTCCATGTCTGAGGTTTACAAGCACTGTAACAGAGAAGGAATCTAACATGGCTCTTCCTGCCTGATCACCTCCTTTGAATTAGTGCCGTAGAGGTTCACATTAAAGCTGCCCCTCCAGTGCCCATGTAGACAATCAGTATGGAGTCCATGGCCTAGGCCCACCCCTGTATGGGATGCCCCATCCATCCTCCCTGCTATATGCAGATGACATACTGTACCCACCATGGAACAAGAAGGTGAAGATGTGCTGTCCCCGGCCGTGCCAGGCCAGGGCGCTGTCGAAGCTGCCATGCACGGTCTTGGCGCCCGCCGTGTGTAGCAGCCACAGCCCCGCCACCAGCAGCCCGGCCAGCATCTCCCTCCTATCCGCTTCCCGGGGACATGTGCAACTCCAGCCGCCACATCTGCAGGAGGACAGGGCGGGGCCTGCGCGTCACCACATTACTCCAATCACTGCCCTGTATAGGAGGAGCTTGGGGGAAAACGAAACATAGCGACGTGTACGTCGCCAGGTAGAGCCGTAAAGCGAGGCTGCCGTAATGCTTTGTTGTGAATTGGTGATGTTGTTAGTGTGGATGCACTGAGTGATACATAAGTGGGAGCTGGGGAATAGGAAGAGCCATGGATAAAGATAGCGAGCCGCACGTGGGCTTCCGTAAGAGACTGCTGGTGACCGGAGGAGCTGGCTTCATGTAAGTGACTTCCGGTGTGGGGGACACTGTGCTCTATACAATGACTTCTCTTCATGTTCGATACCATTACAGCTAAGTGTCTCTCCACAGACAACACAATGGGACAGAGCATGTGTGCAGGGTGGGCCTCACACGGACTGTTCAGGAAGGCCCTTTAAAGCGGTAGTAAACTTTTAATTTTTAACCTGCAGGTATGCTTCTGTTAACCCCTTCACGCTGGCGCCTCCTGGCCCTTTACGGGTTTCAGAAGCTGGGAGGCGGGGTTTGGGGTCATGTGACACGTCGGTTACATGATCGGGAAAGGTCCCGATTGAAAGAGGAGATCGGGACCTTTCCATGAGTACTGCACATGTGTGCTGGGAGCGCGCAGGGCGTGCGCTCTCAGCACATATGTTCTTTTTTAATAGAACGCAAATGTACGGCCGCTCGGCATCTAGGCCCAGATGCCAGGAGGCCGCACATTTGCGGTCGGCCGGCGTGAAGAGGTTAACAACTTGCCATCCTGATGACCAGGCCTCTTTTTGCTACTCAGCACTGCACTATTTCAACTGATAATTGTGTGGTCATGCACTGTTGTACCCAAACGAAATTTACGTCCTTTTATTCACACAAATAGAGCTTTCTTTCAGTGGTATTTGATGATCTGTGCGCTCTTTATTTTTTGCGCTATAAACAAAAAAAGACTGAAAATTTTGAAGAAAAACAATATTTTTTTTTTTACTTTTGGCTATAAAAAAATATATAGTAAACTTTCAATACAAACGACAATACACTCGACCTCATCCTCGAGGTGACCCTGATTTGACTGACTCCACAAAATTCGTCCCCTTCGTAAATCACCTGAACCAAAAATTTGCAGATGTCTATACTCCCCAGCAAAAAAATCTGCATTGATGAGTCCCTCATTAATTTTACTGGCCGCATTGCATTCAAACAATTTCTCCACAGCAAGCGTGCAGGATATGGGGTCAAGATGTATAAGACCTGTGAGAGGCAACAGGCTATACATATAAGTTGCAGATTTACGAGGGAGCCCCCTGGATGCCCAGACTACATGGGGAGCAGTGGCAAGATAGTTTGGGACTTGGCCTGGGCAGGAAGGGGGTATAAGTGCCCTGTAGGCTAGTGTTTAACTAGTTGCCGACCGCAGATAGCCGAATAACGGCTGCACTGCGTCCCCCCAGAACGCGCTCTCCTGGGGCGCGCACCCGGTGATCTCCGTGATCGCTGTGTCCTACGGACACAGCTGATCACGTGATGTGGTAAAAGGCCAATCATACTGGCCTTTTTCCCACGTGATCAGCGGTGTCCAATGACACGCTGATCAGAGGGAAATGCAAGTGCCGGTTCTCGGCTGCACTTTCCTCACGCTGTCAGATCGTGAGGAAAGTACTGCCGAGAACCGGCAGTTGTCAGAGCGGGGATCGGCACCGATCATCAGGGCACTGATGATCGGTGCCCAGCAGTGCCACCCGCAAGTTCCGCCCACCTGTGCCCAGCAGTGCGCCCACCTGTGCCCAGCAGTGCACCCACCTGTGCCACGCTGCAGTGTCACACACCTGTGCCCACCAGTGCCACCTACCTGTGCCCACCAGTGCCACCCACCTGTGCCCACCCACCAGTGCAGCCCAGCAGTGCTGCCAGTCAGTGCCCAGCGGTTGTGCCAGTCAGTGCCGCCAGTCAGTGCCCAGCAGTGATGCCAGTCAGTAGCCATCATCAGTGTCACCTATCAGTGCCGCCTATCAGTGCTGCCTATCCGTGACACCTCATTAGTGCTGCCTATCAGTGCCCATCAGTGCCGCCTATCAGTGCCCATCAGTGCTGCCTCATCAACGCACATCAGTGAAGGAGAAAAATTACCTGTTTGAAAAATTTTATAATAGAAACAAAGAAACTTTTTTTTTTTTCAAATTTTTTGCACTTTTTTAATTTATAGCGCAAAAAGTAAAGCACCCAGTGGCGATTAAATACCACCAAAAGAAAGCTCTATTTGTGAGAAAAAAATAATCAAAATTTCATATGGGTACAATGTTGCATGACCGCGCAATTGTCAATCAAAGTGCGGCAGCGCTGAAAGCTGAAAATTGGCCTGGTAAATAAGGGGGTATAAGTGCCTGGTAGGCAAGTGGTTAAACGACAACTTTGTGTAGAAAAAAAAAATGTTTTTGTCATTTTCCAAAAACTTGTGGAAAAAAAATAAATCTTCCATGGACTCAATATGCCTCTCAGCAGATAGCTTAGGGTGTCTACTTTATGAAAAGGGGTAATTTGAGAGTGTTTGTACTATCCTAGTGTTTTAGCACCTCAAGAAATGTGATGGGCAGTCAGAAAGTAAAAGTTGTGTAAATTCTATTATCTATACCATAGTTTGTAGACGTTATAACTTTCACAAAAAGCAATAAATATACACTTGCTGGAATTTTGTAACTAAAACCATGTAGCAGAACACATTTTGGCCCAAATTTATGATGAAATTTTAGTTTTTTTTTTGGATTTTTTTTATCACAGAAATGAGAAAATGTGTTTTTTTTTTTTCATGCTTTGCATGACCGCGCAATTGTCAGTTAAACTAGTGCAGCGCTGTTTAGCAAAAAAATGGCGTAAATTGCAGTATCTATACCAGGGGTGGGCAAACTTTTTGACTTGAGGGCCGCAATGGGTTCATATATTGGACCCGGGGGCCGGACCAAGAGTAGATGAATGATGTGTATGTGTCATCCATAGTAAGTATAGTAATATTCCCCCATAGTAAGCATAGTAATTAATCCCCCATAGTAATTCATCCCCCATATAGTAATTCATCCCCCATATAGTAATTCGTCCCCCATATAGTAATTCGTCCCCCATATAGTAATTCATCCCCCCTATAGTAATTCATCCCCCCTATAGTAATTCATCCCCCATAGTAATTCATCCCCCATATAGTAATTCATCCCCCATAGTAATTCAATCCCCCATAGTAATTCATCCCCCATATAGTAATTCATCCCCCATATAGTAATTCATCCCCCATATAGTAATTCATCCCCCATAGTAATTCATCCCCCATAGTAATTCATCCCCCACATAGTAATTCATCCCCCATATTAATTCATCCCCCATATTAATTCATCCCCCATATTAATTCATCCCCCATATTAATTCATCCCCCATATTAATTCATCCCCCATATAGTATTCATTCCCCATATAGTAAGTCCTCCATATAGTAATTCATTCCCCATATAGTAATTCATCCCCCATATTAATTCATCCCCCATATTAATTCATCCCCCATATTAATTCATCCCCCATATTAATTCATCCCCCATATAGTAATTCATTCCCCATATAGTAAGTCCTCCATATAGTAATTCATTCCCCATATAGTAAGTCCCCCATATAGTAATTCATTCCCCATATAGTAAGTCCTCCATATAGTAATTCATTCCCCATATAGTAAGTCCCCCATATAGTAAGTCCCCCATATAGTAATTCATTCCCCATATAGTAAGTCCTCCATATAGTAATTCATTCCCCATATAGTAAGTCCCCCATATAGTAAGTCCCCCATATAGTAATTCATCCCCCATATAGTAAGTCCCCCCCCTGTGTCAATTCACTTACCTTTGGTCCGCGCGTTCCTCTCGTATTCCCGCGCCGTTCTGGTCTTCAGGGAGGACTGTGAGAGGAGTTCGTCACGCTGCCCCGCCTACATCCTGGCTGCCCCGCCTACATCCTGACAGCTGCAGAGTCCTGACGTCCGAGAGGAGGGAGGGGGGCGGCCATCCGAGAGGGGGGGCGGCCATCCGAGAGGAGGGGAGAGGAGGGAGGGGAGAGGAGGAGAGGAGGGAGGGGAGCGGGCGCCCGGCACACAGGAGAGCCGCATCTAAATTTGTAAAGAGCCGCGGCTTGCCGACCACTGGCCTTGCGGGAGCCTAGCTCCGCGGGCCGGATTAAAAGGTCCGCCGGGCCGTATACGGCCCGCGGGCCGTAGTTTGCCCATTGCTGATCTATACCATAGTTTGTAGATGCTATAACTTTCACACAAAGCAATCAATATACACTTATTGGGATTTTTTTTTTACCAAAAACATGTAGCAGAATATATTTTGCTCTAAATTTATAACTAACTTTGAGTTTACTATATATTTTTTGGAGCATAGGGCAACCCATTCACTTAAACAGATGTTGCTCAAAAAGAAAAAAAAAAAAAAAAGCAACTCTCCCATGGCACCCATGTGATTGCAGCTTTATGTGCAGCCCTTGCTGCCCCTCTGAAATGCAAGTTGCAGTGGATTGTTTTTTTATTTTAAAGGTGTTTGACAGGCAAACGTGTGATTCATTTCACTTTGATTCAATATTCTGACAAATTTATTTCTTCAGAGATTCAGATTTATATGAATCTCTGAATGGACACATAAATGAATATCAAAGAATCCCCCAAAAAACTGTTTAACTCAAAGCGGAGTTCCACCCAAAAGGGGAAGTTCCGCTTTAAAGATTGGTCCCCCGCTCCCTATTAAGGATTGACATCTTTGGGGAGGGGGAACGGGTACTCGAATTTGACAGGTACCCACTCCCACTTCCGCTGCCATCGCCTAGGCAATTGGACACAGCAGTTGTCCTCCTACCCTCCCTCCCCGAAGTCTTGTGGGACACGTGACAGGTCCCAGAAGACGACGGGGCTATTCAAGAAGCGAAGCTCAGTGCTACTCACACATGTGCAGTGAGCATCCGGCTGTCACAGCCGAGTGCCCACACTGAAGATGCCGGCCTCCCGGAATACAGGACAGCCGGTGAAACGGGCTACGGCAGGGCAACGCGGTGAGTGGCTGTTAAAGTCAGCAGCTACAGTTTTTTGTAGCTGCTGACTTTTATTTTTTTAACAGAGTGGTTTGAACTCCGCTTTAATAAATGCATTTGTTTCAGATGTCACATGATGCCATAGTAGTTCAGGTCCATGGGGAAATGAATTACCGGTAAATTTTCAAATTTGTTCGATAGTTTGGATTCAGATAACAAATTTCGTTCCATTTAATAATTCGGATGTACCTGATGCCAGCCAATATAGTCCAATCAGCTTGTGCCATATCTCTTAATGGGTTGGAAAATATAGAATCCTTGCGGTTATATAATATACTGAATAAATGGCAATCTTTCCAAAAAACTGCATATTTTTCGAATCCTCCTGGACAAACGAATATATGAAACAAATGCTGAAAATGAATCAACATTTGTGTAGAGAGGAGTTTTCTGGAATCGCCTAAAGGCAGATAGGAAAGAGTAGGAGATTGTTATGGGTAATAATTTGAGATGAGGTGCGTGATGTAGCTTGGGACAGAGTTGTGAATGACTGTGTTGTTATCCTAAATGCTTGTCCTGGGTTTGGAACTCTGACTGAGGCCAGAGTAACCCAGATAGCGGCAGCCACTTGTAGGCATCCTGTTAAAGGATAAATTCACCTTTTTGTAACATGTTACACCTATATTTAGGGTGTAACATGTTACTGCGTAGCAGGCAAACTTTCCCACACCCCAGCTTACCCCCCCTCCCCTTTCCCTGTGGGTTCTTCTCACATACCTGCTGTCACATTTTAAAAACAGCTCCCCACATAGCTGCGTTATTCATTCACAGTTTTTTAAAACAACCAACAGAGGGCGCACCAGCCTTGCGTGTTACCTTTGTGACAGCTCTATTGTGTGAACATTAATAAATATACAGTGGATATAAAAAGTCTACACACTCCTGTTAAAATGTCAGGTTTCTGCGATGTAAAAAAACAAGACAAAAATAAATAATTTCAGAACTTTTTCCACCTTTTGTGACCTATAAAAACTGTACAACTTAGTTGAAAAACAAACTGAAATCTTTTAGGGGGAGAGTAAACAAACTAAAATAATGTGGTTGCATAACTGTGCACACCCTCTTATAACTGGGGATGTAGCTGTGTTCAGAATTAAGCAATCCCATTCACAATTATGTTAAATAGGAGTCCGTACACACATGCCATCATTTAAAGTGCCTTTAAAGGGGGGGGGGGGGGTGTTGACTTTTTATGTCCACAGTATACTCACAAACGACTCATGAATAAAGGCACATCACTGTCCACAATGCACCCAAGATGGCCAAGTCTCCTAAGCCAGGGCTTGACAAATTTGCTTTGAATCTAGGAGCCAGCTAAAAAAAGTTAGTTTTTTTTTCTTTCTTTTTTTTTTTTTAGCGTAGCATGGGTTGTCCGCATCCGGGACTTCACACGATGCAATTTTCCACACGACAGTCATAGCAAAAATGCACCACGTTTTAGGCGCCACTGAAAATAATGGCATTTGCACCTGTTTTGTGATCACAGCAATTCTGCTGCGATCCCAAAACACCCAGACGTAAATGGAACCTCCTTGGTTCACACACATATGATATAGATATTTTGTGTTCCTATTGAGGTGGTTCACATAGATGCAATCTACACACATTGTGTTTCGAGTGCCATTATGAAAAGGGTCCTGTTTGAGTTTGTGGCGGTGCGTTCCAGACTCGCAAGTAATAGCGCGGCATGCAGAGATAAGTGGATATTCATATAGGATTGCTATTGACAGGGGTTTTCGCATTGAAGTCTATGGTAGGGGTTTTCGCATTGACGTCTGTGGGGCGTGACTTCCCATGGAAGTCTGTGGGAGGCAGTGTGTGTGTGAACCCTGGCGCTAGGATGCAACTTCTAGTCGCTATTGCCACCTGGTACCTGGGATTTTTCGAGCCCTGTCCTAAGCAAATCCCAACCACAGGAGGACCATCCAAAAGGCTGATGCGGTTCGACGGGGGGATCCTCTCTTCCTCAGAGCCAATCTTGGATGTTGTTTAAAGAGTCCTTATATCACAGATAAAACAAATCA